TCATAGTGACCTTGTACTTAATGACCGTTTCTGACCAATAACACAACAACTCAAGTTGCCTTGGTTGATATTTTTATGTGCTTTTGATATATACATTTGAAGGTCTTATGTAATATAACAACTTGGCTGTCATTAATGAGGCCGATGTGAGTCATAAAATTTATGTATATATTATTTGGTAAGATTTTTTAATAACTTTAATTGCTGCACACAACCTATGGGGTTACAATAATTATTACCTTGTGACTAGTCATGACCAATAGATACTAGATAACCCTTATTAATTGCTTGTTCACTGGGTCAGAAGTCATGCATAATAACCTGATCACATGACAAATTGGCTGCCGATAGGGGGCATACATGTTTTACAAACATATCTTGTTTATGTAGACTTACATAAATAAACATTGAAATTCTTCCTGGTAAAAAAGTCACAATGCTTGGTATAAGTTTGGTGTGTGACATGGCCAAAGAGACATCTGCTAAATTAACCAAATATTGACCCTTGTACCCTTAAAATGTTAACATGTGAGAAAACATTGCTCTGGACCCATTTTAATGTACACGTTAACACAGTGTTGCGATTAAATCATGGCCCCCCCTGGTCCAATTTCAGTATAAACACATGCTCAAATCATGGCCCTGGACCCATTTCAGTTTTAACACATGATCAAATCATGACCCTGGTCCACATTCAGTGTTAACACATTATCAAGTCATGGCCATTGTCCCATTTCAGTGTAAACACATGATCAAATCATGGCCCTGGTCCCATTTCAGTGTTAGCACATGATCAAATTAGGTCCCATTTCAGTGTTATGCCATTTCAATTATGGCACTGGTCCAGTTTTAGAGGTAAGTTGTGATCAAATCATGACCCTGGTCCTGTTTTAGTGGTTGTGAACAAATCATGGCCATTGTCCCCTTTCATTGGTCATTTGTGGTCAAACTATGATCCTTGTACCTTTTATGGTCACTTATGATCAAAGCATGGTCTAATCCCCTTTCATTGGTCATTTGTGGTCAAATAATTGCACTGGACCCTTTCAGTGGGCACCTGACCCAGGTTCTCTTTCAATGGTCATTTTTTAATATGAAATATATTGTCCAAAATCTCGACAATTGGTAAATGATAATGCACCTTGCTGTTGAAAATCAGTTTCTTCTGTTCACAGGTGTCAAAACAATTTTTTCTTCTTTCATAATGTTTCATATACTTAGTCTAATATCTTTTTTTTCAAAGATTTCTGTACTTATCATCCTGATACAACTATATCTTTGTTACTGGGATCAAGGTCACTGACACGTAATTTAGATTTATCTCAAAAAGGTGACAAAAATCTTTATGAGAAATAAAAAGGGCCAAATATTTATCTGTTTCATAAGTAGTGTTAAGTATGTATTTATAAACATTTGTGTTCAGTAAAATGCTTTGGTTGTGAATATCTTGAAAAAATGATATATGAAAATAAATTTGAAAACTATGTTATTGCTTTTTCCCAATTTCACAGGGGATTAATTGTTGGTTATTGTTGTTCCATAATTTATTATGATCTGAATTACAAAATCCATTTTCTACAGATTTTTTTTAGCTCATCTGTCACAAAGTGACATAGTGAGCTTTTGTGATCGCTTTTCGCCCGGCGTCCGTCGGTTATCGGTTTGTAAACTTTTACTTTAAAGGATATGTCTTCATAAACTTCTAAGCCAATTTCATCCAAACTTCACAGGAATGTTCCTTGGGTAGTCAACTTTAAAAACATTTAAAACCTTAATTCCATGCAGAACTCTGGTTGCCATGGCAACCAAAAGAAAAAACTTTTAAAAAATCTTCTTTTAAAACCCGAAAGAGCAAGAGCTTAAATAATTGGCATGAAACATCGTCTAGTCAGTGTTTACCAAGTTTATTCAAATAATACCCCTGTGGTCAAAATTGTCCCCGCCGTGGGGGGGGGAGGAGGTTCATTAATTTTCCTTATTTGTATATAGTAAAAACTTAAACAATCTTCTTTAAAAATCCCAAATAGCTAGAGCTAAGATATTAAGAACGAAACATGTTCTAGTAGGTGTCTACCTAGTTTGTTCAAATAAAAGCCCTGGGGTAAAAAAATATCAACGCCCCAGGGGGTCATTATTTTTCCCTTTATGTACATGTATATAGTAAAAACTTTAAAAAATCTTTTTTTAAAAAACACAAAGAGCTAGAGCTAAGATATTTAGCATGAAACATCTAATGGGTGTCTACCATTTTTTTCACATAAGCGCCCTGGGGTTAAAATTGGTCCTCCCCAGGGGTCATTGATTTTCCCTACATGTGGATAGTTAAACTGAAAAAACTTCTTTTAAAAAACCCAAATAGCTAGAGTTTAGAAATATCTCTTCGTGAGTGTTTTCCAAGTGTGTTCATATAAAAGCCCTGGGGACAAAATTGGTCCCGCCCAGAGGGGAGGGGACATTGTTTTTCCCTATATGTGTATAGTAAAATCTTCTAAGAGCTAGAGCTTAGATATTTATCATGAAACATCTTCAAATGGGTGTCTACCAAATTGTTTCATATAAAAACACCTGGGTTAAAATTGGCCAAACTCCGGGGGCCTATATACAGGTGAGCGGTTTCAGGGCCATCATGGCCCTCTTGTTTTTAAATTACGAGTGTCACCTACACTATGATTAGCCTTGCATTGCCTAGTGGTTAACGTTGCTCACTCCGAATCAGTCGTTCAAATATGGTCTTTCCAGGTCAAATACAAAGCATTCAATGTGTATCAAAAAACAATTTCAAGGATTAAATTTCAATTCCAAGTTCAAAGAAATTGAAATGAAATCAATTAACGTACCATGTGCAACAAATAAAACAAATATTTCTTTTTTTCTAAATTAATTTCCGAGAAAGTGCCAAATATTCTAAGGCATTGAAACGAATCTTTGTGTGATTCTAATGATAAGAGAATCATTTTTAAACGGCATCAGGGACATAGATGAAGAGAAATAACTTATAATGTGTGATAGCCTAGAAACAATGTGAATTATCTCCCTTAACATATACTTCATTTAAGGTTATGTTAATAATGCAAGGGAAGTGGATATCGAAAATTTTCACTTTACGCTTGTATATAAGATTTGGCCATTTTTATCAGGCATTTCCCCATCCAAAATGAAAATGCGTAAAGTTTATGTAGCGTATATCAGTCTATCATATCTACCTACCTAAACAAATTCATTATTAATTCGTTTCTTTGTTTACAAGTATTTAATCAATCATAAATCATTAAATGATTTTTCGGGGTTCTGTTGATACAGAATTATGTTCTGATTATACGCCGGTTTACAGAAGTGCCTATATAAGTATTGTGTATCTCCGGTGGAAATATAACTGGAAATTACAGATTGAAAATTACCTTAATGTCGAAATAAGCAGGAACAAACTGCATAATCATATAAATTTTTTATGAAGATTGTGGTAATAAAGTATTAAGACAGTTTACTTAATAATACCTGAACAAATCATATTTGAGCAAATTGGATTATCACATTTATTTCATAATTTTGAAGGTTCATTTAGCCTTATTATTTTAAATTTAAATTTATCCCATTTATTTTAGTTTACCAGAGCAGAAGGCTCAGGGTGAGCCATTAGTATCAAAGGGGGATGCTCCGGCGTCCGTCGTCCGTCGTCATGCGTCAACACTGCAATGAGTCCTACTCTACCTAGGTCCGCCCTTTGCAATATCGATATGCTACTAAAAAAAGCACACTTTAAAATATCGCAAACTTCTTCATAAAATCGGATATTATGACACTTTCTCTGAAAAACATCTATGTTTTCTGTTATGATAACAATGCTTCTTGATGACGAATCTCATTTTGATATATTTTATCAAAATAACAGAAAAAGTAGAAAAATCTTTGTAAACGGTAAACGCTTTTTGTCAACCATAATGGGCTGAATTCCTTATAAACACTTATATTATGACACTTTTCGACTTTAATATTGATGTGTTTTATCATGATAACCTTGCTTTTTGATGAGGGATCTCATATGAATTTATTTTCATTGAATTTTTCACACATAAACTTGGTCAGTAGAATTTTTTGCGGACTAAGCCCCGCCGCGCTTTTCAAAACTGGGTACGTTGTAATGCGCGTAGCAAGTAGTTTCACTTCTTGTGTATCCAGGTGAGTGAGCAAAATAATCAATCATTGGGTTAGATAGAGGATTAATAGAATCTATCATTGGGTAAGATAGAGGATAGGGAAATCCCAACCCGAGGGTGATCGGTTCCATCGGGAACGAGCCTTGGCACAAAGTAGTATTTTGACTTCCATACAAAATACTCATTCACTATAATTATATACCAATTGCTCAACAAACTAAGGAAGAAAAAGATAAGTCACATACATTAAATCGAGTATTTTTAAACTTACAAAATACCACAAAAAAGAAATGAAAATGATAAAATTTCTAAGGCATAATAAGCCTTTAACATTAGCCGTTACACAAGGTACCTTTCGAAGCACGAAGATTCCTCTTTTTTCGGATTATATTGCTAACATAAAATTACCGCAATTGAGCAATCTAATAATCAATAAGTATTGAAATTGTAACACTCATGATCATAAGAGGCGACTAAATTGCAGATGAGACGATTTTGACCCCTTTTTAATTTTTGTTACACCAGAGGTTAACCAAAATTATCTTTACTGCTTCGGCGCCAAGGGTCTAAATGGCGTTGATGCGCCGTATAAATCAAAGAATACAAAAGCAACACTCATATCCTTAGGCAAACAAATCCTTAAAACAAACCAGCATAAAACTGCATGGACAGAAATTTTACACGGATCTTTTTTCTATTTCAATTTATTATTTGGAATTTATGTCTTTGAAATAAAATAAAAAATAATCTTAAATATTTTAAATCTATTTGATACCTCAAAACAGTATTAAGAGCAATAAAAACAAAAATTTACTTCTGAGAAAGAATAGAACTTTTTTACGTTACCTTCATTTCTGCCAACGTATCCCGAGACTGATTACTTTCAGAGTTTTTATGTAACTGATATTTGATACTTTTAGTCAACCCCGTAAGTCAAAATTTGTTTGGTAGCGTAACAGGAACAATGAGACAGGCTTCAGTGAATAAGAATAGGACTGTAACTTAATTCTGATTCTGAACCGATTCGTAAAGTGAACCTATTTCATGAAAAATTGATGCGAAGTTTTGTTTTACATAATGCTTTAAAAATACCGTAAAGTTACACTCAATAATTTCATAAAGAATTTCAAAAGATCGGGTTTCAGTGAACTTGTCAACATGTTTTCCCAAACTTGATTAATTGGCATATTTGTTACGGTTTACATTTGCATTAATTATTATTATTTGTATAATGCAGAATCCGCACAGTCATACGTTTGTCATAAATCTTGATATATTATTGCCTTTTACTATTTCAGTTTCATTTTTCATTCATCCATTATGTTTTCATCTCTTTCATGTCATTTCACTTTTTTTGACATACACATTGCAGCTGACAGATTAGCTGTTTGGCTTTACAAAAGTATTTGAAAAATAAACTAAAGAGAAATATTATATCATCATGTGGTACTATTCACAGGGACCCAGCACAGTGTTGGGATAGTGTTAAAAGTAATTCTAGAAAAAATACATACTGTAATATATACTGAAACCAAAGAAACCACTTACTGCTGAACATTTTTTTGACTTATACTTGACTAGTGGCATTCGGCCGATTTGGCGTGTTCAACCCCTATGTCTATATACAAATGTATCATATATACAGTATATATTTTTTTCTAGAATTACTTTTCTACACTATCTCAACACTGTGCATGGTACATGTGGTACTATTTAATTAGAAAACACTTAAATGAATAATGTGCTTTCGTATCTATTTGGCACATGCTATTTTTTCAACAGAAATCAATAATAATAATAATAATCATGAAAAAAGCTGGATGTTCCATAACTGGGTTCAGTTTGCAAACAGATGACCATTAGGAAAATACATCCACATTTATTTATTATTTTTTACCAGTGCTGCAGGTGTACGCATGGTGCTACAGGTGGGCGCACTATGTCTTATTCCCTTTGCATAACATGGAGTGTGTCATTTATTGACAATATCATGTCTAGTATGTTTTTAGCAAAATATAGCAGAAAAATATCAGCCACTATCAGGGATTCACAGAACAAAAGATAATCTAAACTTAATATTAATATATACATGTAGAATGATGTTTCTGAAGTTAAAAACGTTTTAAAATCATGCAACAATTTTACTTGCTTGGATATGAAAAGGCGCACACATGTAGCATCATTCGCACACCCGCAGCACCAGACAAATAGAATGGATAAATGTATTTTACTCTTCGACACTGATAGTATACCCGAAGCAGTTGGAAGCCATAACAAATCTAATTTCATCAAATTACATACGAGACTTTGACGATGTACAATTAAACGTCTATATCAGCGTTTTATGCGCCACATAAGTCGAAGACTTTTCCACATTACTCCTTCGAAATACATTCTACTGAGCACACACATACACTATAGGAGAAACCAGATCGAACTACGCTTTTGATTTTGGAAAATGATGTTCTGGACTTTTAGTATCACCATAAAACAACACAGCCTACCTTGATTTCTATCCATCTTTGCGTGCACAATGATAGCACCGGGTTTCGCACACCTGATTTGAAGCATGTGTGCTAAAGGTGTGCCTATAACAGTCGTGATTATGACAAGAAGTAATTATAACTATAGACGCTAAGACGAACATTTTTATTATTTAAAAATATAGTTTTTTTGTGAACATAGGATAAACCTGTATACGTTATCTGTTCATGTTGAACACAAACAGAAGAAGCTCACCAGTAAATTTATATGTCAACTAAGCTTATTTGGGAGCCAGGTAAAAAACTAAGGTATATCGTTAATTTTTATACTTGTGTTAAAACGGAAAAAGTAGAAAATTAATGATCTTGCTGTAATTTTTGATGTTCCTTCAACTTCTATATCAATGTTCATTATTATCTTGAGATGTATTAATGTTGAATTTGATACCTTTAGAGCTTAGTTGTAATCATGGATATCAAAAGTCAAAAGTACGATGATGAGAAGGCGAAATTACCAAACTACGATGGTGGAAACCCGATATAATTTCGTGTTTTTTTACCATCGCTTTTTTCGATTTTTCACCATCATGGTTTCATTATTTCGACTTTTCACCATCGTATTTTTGACTTTTTATCATAGAACCTTCGACTTTTCACCAACGTGGTTTCGTAATTTCGACTTTTCACCATCGTGTGTTCGTTGTTTCGAAGCATGTTTTAGTCGCGATGGCTCATTTAATGTGTAGCTTTAATATTAATAACGAAGTTCACATTCATCGAATTCTTTGTTTTAATGATTTAGAGACAAATTTATTAATGTTTTCTCCAAAGTTTAAACATATTTCCCTTCTGCTATTTAGATACTTTGACGTTTCTAACAAAGAATTGACATTCATATGAACAATAATTAATCTCTTTTCTATTAGAAAATTCAGTTTTATTAGCAAAAGCAATAAAAGAATATGGTACTATTTCTATCAGCTTACAACCATAAAATTGTCTGCTTTTGAAGGGAATATAAAAAAGTAATACAACAACATGATAGCACACATGAATTATAAATAAACGACAGGTATCGATTGTATAAAAAGAATTATTATGCAGCTGATAATAAAAGAGCCGCTTTGACTGCATACGTTATATTTTTTAAAAGATACATTGTATTTTTTAAACCATTACTATGGCATATAAATTGCATGAAATTATCCTTAACCTTTGATTTTGTTGTTATTGTTGTTGACTTTTGTGTTATGATCTTTTAACATTTCAATCACAATGTTTTACATGTATTTACATTGTAAGCTAAACTACAACTGCTGCTTGAGGATGTAATCAAGCTAGTTTCACGGACAGTCGTTCTACTCATGTACCCCCCCCCCCAGATGTCACCATATGATCTTTACAGATCTACAGATGCACTATAAAATTCGATTTTGGAAAGCAGAAAAAAAGTCATTTGTCCGGTATGTTTTTCAACTTTGATCATTATATCATAAATAACACGGAACGTTCATTTGGGAAGAAAAATCGGGAATGTAATTTTACCATCCAGCCTTTCTGAAACATTTACCAATTTTGGTCTCATATTTTTTTAATTTAACATAGTGTGATTTTTTTATGGATATATTTCAAATGTTTTGAAAACAAATCATATCAGGAAGAGCATCACCCATGCATTTGCTGTCAGCTAATTTAAAGGTGGTCAAGGAGCAGCGCGTTCTCCATGCTGGACATTATTTGATTTATAAGTGGCAATTAAAAAGTGACGTTACTGTTAGAACTCATACAGATGCATCCAATTGCAAAGTTAAATGACAAGGACAATATATTGTTCCAAGTGACAAGGACCTTATATCATTATTTTTGGGTAAACGTGACACGGAGAACATATCAATATACATCTGCATTCAATTCTTACATTCCTACGTGCAAAGTATCTATATCAATAGACCTTGATTGAATTGCCAGTTTTATGCTCATGATCTTTAACTTTTTGACTGTAAGATCGAGCTTACTGAGGTACATTCAACTTGTAAAAATTGTACTATAATTTAAGGCAAAATACAAAGATTCAAGATTAAAAAAGCAATAAACATGTTATAAGGGATTAATGGTGAATTAATGGTGTAATTAATTACTGAATTACTAACGCAGTAAGGGCATTATTTGCATATTTTGACCTCTTTTTGTAATAAACGACACGTCAATACCGATATCTTATTGGAGATTATTGACCGAGTTACACGCGGTTTTACACAGATTAAAAACCAAAAAATTCTCGTATTGTGTTAGAAGGCAGACAATCCTGGCATGTCATAATGTTCATTTTTATACTAGTTATCTCCTTTTACAAGTCATGTGTGTCTTTTGTTTTTGAGTTATTTCACTCATAAAGTTTAGTTATAAAAAACATACGAACTGTCCGAAGTGAAATCTGTCATATGGGCTTTTGTCATCTGGAATATCAAATGCTTTTATGCAGCCATGGTCAAAATACCGTCAAAAATAATTTCCCTTAGTAAACGTTGTCAATCTTAGATACAGTTGTTTTCATTGTTCCTGTTTTTGCATATCTTGACCACTTTTTGTTATTTTTCGTGATTGTAAGTGTCAATTGAAATATGTAGATAACTTTATTTGTTCACCTCGCAATATTTTACTTTTAAAAACATTTCCAAAATTTTCATAAAATTAACATGAATCTGGAGGCATGCTGCTTGTGTAAGCTGCAACCTCCAGATGAACCAATTGAAAATATTTTAAGAAAATCAATATTGAGAAAAATGCACTAAACTTTTAAAAAAGCTAAAAACATTCAAGATCCGAGTCATATTTTACATGTTATGTGCGGTTTAAGACTGACTTTGCAGTAATTTATCACCATATTTCTCATATAAGGGCTTGTTTTACATATATTGACCACTTTTTGTTAATTTTCGTGGATTGTAAGTGCCGATTGCAATATGTAGATAACTTTATTTGTTCACCTCGCAATATTTTACTTTTAAATACATTTCCAAAATTTTCATGAAAATTAACATGAATCTGGAGGCGTGCTGCTATAATAATATGCATGTATGATAGGTACATAATAATACAGAAACGTGGTTTATTGAGTCAGTTATATCTAGAGTTCTCTTTTTGTTCATTACATTTGTAAAATAAAATTACATCGTCTATTTAGAGCATGACTCTTTAACATGTCATATTCCCAGCAATAATTCATTTTTGATCCACCAGGAATATCAATGTCGTTGAAGAAGTTACTAATTAAAGTTTAATACATAAGCTGATTGTTAAAATTCATTTGAAAGTCTGATGTCAAAGGGGGGAAAATAACAGCAGTTAGCTTCATTAATCAATTTAATGGACAGGCAATCATTTTAGATAAAAGACCTGACCCGAT